CCATGTGCAGATCTCCAAAACCATTTTTTTGTGAACAGTGCCTTTAAGTGACTGCAATTACTGGATTACTCCCAGGAAGCGCTGTGCATCCCAGTTCCACATGGAAGGCAATATTGGCCAACGAGTTGCTGAACCGCCAAATGTCGAGGGGGGTTCGCATTCACCAGAGCTCATCAGATTATCAGACTGATGTCGGGAGGAAGTGGTAGGTACTGGCTTCAACTGTCGTAGGTTGCTAACCGCTGTGCCTTGAAATTGAGAAACCCTTCTCGTTCCAGCAAACGCTTTGCCCAGAAATAGAACGTACATAACTTAGCAGAGTAATACCTACTCTCGTTGCTCTTATCATGTTCTTTTTCATCATTAAAAAGTTACCGTCACTTTTCCCTGATGGAACGTCATTGAAAAAGAGCCATAACCGTACCGAATAGAGCGTCTTTGCTTGGAATTGGAGCCAGTTTACTCAGCGGCACTGATGAATTGTCTGTCGAGCCACCGTTTATGATTTCCTAAATATGTTTTACAACTAATTAGCTCCCTCTCGAAATGTGGCTCGATTTTATAAACTCACCGCTATCTTTTTGTTTTTCACTTCCTTCATTCCTTTAATTGCTTCCTCCTCGAGCCTTTTCAACTCTTTTTCAAGGTCGTCATCAGAAATATTGTCATATTCAAACTCCATATTGTGGCCGAGCTCTTTTTTGGTCTGCAAATATACGTGGTTCAGAGCTTACCTCTGGTAAGGGGTAAAAAGTCTAAACCTTGGGAATCACCTGTTTCCTCATCAATTTTAGCCTCTCTTCTCTCAAAGCTTTTTGTTTCTTTATCACCTAGAAAACGTCTCATTATCTTTTTCGAACCCGATTTAAGCCAAGCTTTTCCATCTTCTTACCGCATTGTTCGCTTTATCGAGATCCTTTCTGATCGTGTCGTTGATCACCTTGTCGAACCACTGGATGAGACGAGCGACCTTCTGTTGGGTTTCTTGAAAAACTTTCAGAGCCTGAAAGCGTAAGATCTTTGGAGGGTAGCTCCTCTACATGGAAACACTGCCTACCGTCGGCTCAGTTGGATCTGTTAGGGTGTTCGGAAGATTTCTGCCAGAAATCTCACAAGAAACCCGGAATTTCTGCAGGAATGTTCCCGAAGTTTCCATAGAAACACTATAAAATGGCACTACCACTTAAAAGCGCATAACATATTCGAAGATTTCATGGTGTCGCAGTTGATTGACCAGATGAATTCTCATCTTTAACACTCTTTTTCATAGTTCTGAGGCATTGAAACGAGCCATGCGGAGAAGCACTTGGAGGGGACTCCAAGGCCGAACACTTCACACTAGTTTCGCGAGTTCCAGCGGCGGAGTGGCCGGATTCGAATTCGTCGAGCATGGGCTGAGTGCGGAGGACAGCTCTCCCGCTGTGGGGTTGAATAAGTAAGAAAGAGTGAGCCGTGTGTGGTGTCCTTATGTAAAAGTTTCACGGGAACGTCCAGAGAGTCTAGAAAAATCCTGGACTAATGCGAACTTTCGCCATATACAACGCTTTCCGAAGAACCTAATACGTCAGGCCGTTTTCATAGTAACAACGTCCCCTCGTCTTAACCCACCTTCCCTCTACATCATGCACCGCACCGATTTCGTCACCCACCTTTTTCACCTCGGACTCGTCTTGAACGTTTTTGAAGGCCTTTGTAGCTGTGTCCTCCATCAGTAGGATTTCTTCTTCTGTTGCGTAAGGGAACTCAACCTATGATTGTGCTCAATTCAAAGGACTCCTCAATTGTATGTGACCTACATTTCGGTAGAACGTTGAGCGCTTACCTTATTGAGGTACATCCGACACGATTGTACGTTCTGAGCAGCAGCGATGAAGTTGTTCCGAGCTTCAGCTGCTGCGAAGTAACGAGCTCGAGGATTGCTGGAACGACTTTTTACTCTTTTTTACTTGTTAACCGGATTTTTTGGAAAATTTCAAATATCTCCATGGCAATGGTTAAGTGAATTAAAGAAGGCTTTTTCTTCTCAGGGCAAAATTGAAAAAGGCACACAAAGTCAGAGAAATCGTAAAAAAGCCTGCCTTTCCTCAATTTTCTTGATATCTTGCCAGCGATTGATTCCAAAAGTGATTTGTGTTAGAGCATGTACAAGTAGAACTCGTCCATTTGCCCATTTGAACATTGCCAGAGCGACTCGCTGCTGCCAATCCATCATTTCGTCCACCTGGAGCGAAGGAAAAAGAAAATTCTAGAAATTTCTAACAATGAGTGAGCTTCCAGAGACAATCACAAATATGCCTTCGGCAATCGAGAAGTTTACTAGTACGCATGTCGATGTACACGAAGCAACTAGTCATACCCTTGTGATTTTTCATTCAGCTTGGGCGTAACACTCGGCAACTACGCGCGCGGTTGCGTCACATACGCATACCTTGTACGAAGCAGGTATGTGTATTTTCGTTCAGATCAGATCAGTTCTCACGGAATTTTTAACAGGAGTGGCTAAATCCTAACTGTTGTTTTTTCTTTCGATGCCGTTCCACAATATATTCATTACGCTCATCCATACTATGAATATCTTGTAGACGAAAAATCAGCTCACCTCCCCTTCCAGAATGTTCTCCTTCTCCGATGCGTAGTCAGTTCCAAAGATTCCAACTGGAAAATTCAATCTTCTCTGTACATTTGACATAAATTGTTTTCTCTACTTACTCAACATCTTATCCTGTTTGTCGTAAAGGGCAAGTAGATTGTCCATCTGTTGCTTGTAAATATCTGTGATTTTCTGAGCCGTTTCGAACTTCACCTTTGAAAGCTCGAGTTCCTAAAAGTATCATGTCCACCTTTCAGGAAAAGGCTTCCATAAAAAAAGGATCACAATATGATTTTTCTCCCTCACAGGGAACCATGAATTGACATTGTCTATTGAGAAAGACTATTATTTGTTACACCCCCCCCCCCTCTCCTCCCTCCTCCCAAGGTTATTCAGGTGCCATCAGAAGCAACTTCCCTTGTGATTCAGAAAAAAATCTGAGGAAACTAACTCAATTTCGTAAAATTTCAATTATTCGATTACTAGAACTCTCAAACATTCAGACTGATGGTGAACCTCTAGCTGTACTTCACTGATTGATACTATATTTCAGTTTTTTACTCTATTTCGACCAACCTTTTCCACGGCATCTTGCTTATTCACAGCATCCTCGTAATCCTCTTTTTCTTTCTTGAAGCGAGCTTCCCATTCGCCCTGAATGCTGAATATCAAGGTCTACGTAAAACACCGTTGGTAAGCTTTCATTTAGACTGTTTTCGCCTTCAGCTTCTACCACTTAGGCTACTCTTTTGATATAAGCAGTTATTACGCGCATGACTAAATGCGGCTCTTGATGTTGCTTTTTCTGGAGGTGAAAACAAGTATTTGCTGGAATCGGTTCCTCATCTGTGGATTGAAAAGTACTTACTTGATGTTTCAGGAAGTCTTTCACAGAAGGCTGTTCAATGTTCTTCAAGTCAGACTTTTCACGTTCACTGAAACCAGTAAATACGAAAGTAAAGTAAAAGTATAACGCGTCAAGATAATTTCAGAGTCTCAGGGTCTTGTGAGAATTCGCTTGGAGCACCTCTCAGTAGGTATTCGGAAGAGGAAGGGAAATAGTATGAAGGAATAACGCCTTCGGCACTGAGGACTTCTGGAGGGTCTTCTAAAAAAAGCAGGGTTGGGAATGAGAGATCATGATGGATAATGATTTTATGACACTAGAAGGATTTCATGCAGCTGACAATGAGCACTTGTATTAGGTTGGGTCATAAGTCCGCGGACAAAAGGATAGCGATGACTTCTAGAGATCATAACTCGGGAAAGAGGATACGAAAATGGACGCACTGGCATTGTTAGATAGAGTATGAAAAGCTCTTCGAAATACATGCTAACGAATACACCTAACTGTTTCCTTTCCTGCAAACATGCCCCATGATTTCAAGCCGTCGCAACTGCACCTCCGCAACACCATACTATTTCTTTTTTTATCTGGCCAAGATCCCGCGGAGATCGAGAGACGTAATGAGGAATTTTACAAGAAGGGTGCTCCTGCTAGATGCACAGTTCACTAGTGGCATGCGATGTTCACGTCGAACAACCATTTCATCGAAAATGAATACCGTCCGGGACGCTCAGTGGAGCTGGATTTGGAGTTGCTGCGGAGCCAGGTGGAAGCCGATCCGTACCAAACTACTCGTAAACTAGCAGTCACCNATCTAGCGGTGCCTCGCCCGTCCATTTCCGTCACTTCTTTCCCGAGTTATGATCTCTAGAAGTCATCACTAACACTTTGTCAGAGGACTTATGGCTCAACCTAATACATATACATGTGTGACTACGTGTCCTATCCCTTTGTTCCATTCCTCTGTACAACTAGGCTTCTGGGGAAACTATATGAGTATGAGCAGAGGGCAATAATTTGTAAGAAAGGCTGGCAAGTCACCTTGGGGCCATTCTCCTAAGAACGTTCCTAGAAGGCTTCCAGAAGATGGCTCTTTGCCATCGATGGCTACGTGTAACCATCGCGGTACTTAGCAACAATAAGAAGTGCTCACGTCTGCTTTCTGAGCTCCTTGAGCACTGCTTCAAGTTGCTCAACGGTGTTTTTCAGGTTGTCAGCGTAAATAGTCTGCGATTCATACTTCTTGATCACGTTTTTCCGTTCCAGTTTATGAATTGCTTTTTCCAGATTAATGTAATCCTGAATATCATAATGAAATTGGCATAATCATAACAAGATCACATCATGTGAACGGAGTTCGCCACCTGAACGACTCCTTCAGTCAACTGGATGCGTTCCACCGGCGCCTTCTCGCGGCGTTTCTCAGAATCCGAGCTGCCATGGCTCTTCTTGTCCTCTCCGTCGCTCTTTGAACCCACCTCGTCATCGTTTGGAGACGTCAAAGGACTGACTTTTGATGATTTTCGATCTGAAGCTTCAAATCTTTTCTCATGCTTCCCTTCAAAACAACGTTTGCCGACTTTAAAAGGCTTTCCCAAAAACCAAAAGACGTACTAATTGAGGTAATCGACTTTTTGTCTTCGTCACTCTTGTCCGCTGCTCGAAGGGAGACGTTGTCCGCCCAACGTCCTTTCTGAAACAAAATGTCAGTTATGAAAGCATAGGAAAAGTGCTGAAGTCTTGAAAAATCCTGCTTTCAAAACTTCACCTCATATTCGAAAATTGGGGGGAGGTGGCAAGTGGCGCACTATCGCACACGCACGGTCAGGGGTTCGACACCCGGACCGATGTCCGCCTAGGCCAACCAAACCTTCCACAACTCTGGGGTCGGTTAGTTGGTACCAGACTCGTCTGAGAGAATAACAGTACTAACTTGTACATTGGCTGGCCACCGCAAGTCATTATATAGGCCACATACGCCCCTACGATTCTGAATGGAAGTCGAGTGCGGGGGTGCATCCCTCAGTCGGGATTGACGCCAAAAACGTTGCCCTTTTATTCGAAATTTAAGCACGAGTTTTTTTATTCACGTATTACTCTTTTTCCTCATTATATCAAGGTCATACGATTGTCAAACAGGAAGACTTATTGGAGGACTGGCTGCTTGGAGTGCCTCGGGGGATGGTAAACGCCCTGTGCTTACCCTTGTCTACGGATCATAAAAATTCCCTCCCAGCAGAACTTATAGCCACCTGGGCTGGTATATTGGGAAAAATAAGGGAATGAAGTGTTATAGCAGTAGATGGGCACAAATGAGGGCTTTGAAACACCAAAACTGGCAGGTAAGCTGGAATATGCAAAAGTTGTTTCCTGTACCCCATTCTGAAAGACTGTTCGGGTTCCCATTTGCTCGGTGATTGATCTTCCCGCGGCAGCTTCCAAAATGGATCTAACGGGGCGTGTTATGATGGCTAAAAAGACTTTACCTCTTTGCTACTTTGCCTAGTAGCTGCTGAACCCATGACGGCTGCTGTCGAATTGCTTTTTTTTCTAATCAACTGTAATAATAATACAGTACAGCAAACTCTTTAACATACGGAAAGCGAGGAAATATCGTAAGCTTCTGGTAAATCGAAAAAGTCAACTCTGAAGTAGAATAACTACTGCTCAACGAGAATACGAAACGAAGTGGTGAGATGTGCGCTGGCACTTTTGAAACAAAACGACCGCTCTCCATGGAGACGATGGCCAAAGAGGGTCACATGGATTCTTTTGTTGCTATGCTCTTTTCCATACCCCGAATTAGAAATAATATATGCTGCTGCTATACTATACTGGTCTTAGATCCACTTATGTAAACTACACCATACGAAATAGATTAGTTCCACCTTGACGAATGCTTATTGGCGTTGACAGTCTGCAATCTGTACCCCACAAGTACTTTCCTTACTTCGCTTTGGTTCATGGGTAGCCAACAGCTACACAATACTCGCTCATGATCGAAATGCTGACATCCCCAAAAGCCTGGTCGACCGATCAACTTATGAGAAGGTCATCGATGTCTAAATTACAAGAGGGGTCTACACGATCGGCTAAAAAATTGTAACGCCTGAAAGGAGTCATGCCTTCGCGATGGCTTACATAGGACGGCAATATCAAGCTTATGGCGAAGGTATGCCTTCATATATACAAAGGCCTATAACGGGATCTTCTACATTGTTGTGAAGTGGACACTTCCTTGGAAGCTTCCCTAAGACTTTCACACCCTCATTTACTGGTTAGCCGTACTACGGTAAGCTGGAAGTGAACATGTTTGCCCGCATTCCAGACGAATTTAGATCCGGGTGCTCACTGAAATTCGCTAATAATCACTAACACGTTCTTGCTCTAAGATTGAGTTTCGAGATGAACGTCGGTCCAGAATGGCGTCAGTGCTGACTCACGAGTGCTCAAGGTACTGGGCCCCTAGGATGTTTGCAGATTTCACTCTGTGGACTACTGGTAACCTTCGGAATTGCCCCGGGTATAGGCCTGATGCACTCGAAACCATACTGGTTTTTAAAAAGTCTACCACGAAGATCTTGAAAATGTTCAAGAATTTTAAGAAAAAATAACTCTCAGCCTATACCAACCAGTACTTTCCTTGTGAGATAACTGTGTTCTTGGTATTCTACAGCTTGGGGAACACACATTATTTTACCTCCATTCGAAATTCTTTCGATTTCAATTTATTGATAACTTACTATGAGGCTCAACCTGTCTTTATATCATGTATCAGCTGCTTACTGATGCAGTGTTTGGTTCATTCCTGAAGGGCTGCTGCTCTTAGAATCCCGTTCAACCGTCTGTGTTGGAACTGAACTCCTCATAATATGCAACTTCTGTATGCCCCTGGAGTTTGTGCATCTTCTCTACGTACAGTACTTCCTTTCATTGTAAAATCCACGATTTGATAGCCTGACCATGACTAGTTGGATTTGTTTCATCGATGTCCGTTGTTGCAACGGAACCCAGAACAGGATCAGCCTCAGGAATTCTCGAAGCCAAACCACTTTCCTTAAATGCTTCGTCAGTCGGAGCACCAGCACTAAAGATTGTTGTTTCCCATTCAAAATGCCATGATAGTGACAGAAAAAATAGCATAATAATTTATTATTGTTCAAAATTATCATTTGAATGAGGGACACATAATTGCGAACAAATGGGCGTGGTTTGTGCAGTCTGAGCTACCGCACAAGGTCGCTACACAACCCAAAGCCTACAGTAATCAATAAATAGTATAATTTAGAGCATGAGACAATTAATCAACGCCTACACAATCAAACAGCAACAATCAAATACACATCATTACACGATTTCGTTTGTGTGCAGACATTCGCGGCGTATAGATAAATAAGCAACTATTTAATCGCCACCATCAGCATTAGTCGGCTATACAACAAAAAAAGGTACAAATTAATCCGTCGTAAGAGGAAATTCATTGATTACAATGAATATGACGTTCAAGTGTTTCTAGTTGAACAATCAACGGCTACACGTTGCTTATCCCGTTGGAAGCAGGGCTTGTACCAAGCGAGTAGACGGGCGCGTTCCGTACGGTACACTATTCGACTCGTTTCCTGTTAGATCCATCAAGAGTGCGTCTGGCGTCGGATATAGCCGCCTACTCGCTTAAAGCCATCTCTGCCTTTGACGGTATAAGGGCTTAACCAATCAACGGACTACTGGGCGCTAGTTTCGTACGTTGTACGTTACTTACATTTGATAAAACCGGGCAATATGGGTGTGTCTGTGGAAAATCTACCCTTGCTAGCATGCTAGACATACATATCAGCGTGAATGAGAACATTTATGTCAAAATCGCACGATCGACGCCGATATAAAGATATCGGTCAATTTACAATTATAAGCTAGCAGAAAGGAGTAAATCGTGAAACGTGTTATTAATGACACTCGAGCAGGAATTAATGACGAAGGACGAATCCGAGTTGGTTAACATGCATGACAACACGCTGATACCACATGCCTACCGTACTCTCGAGATTACGGTACTCATGCGAGAACCGTCAGGAGTGCACATCAGCGCGCGCGTACGCACGGGCCATCTGCCCCGGTTAGCATGAATCGGCGAGAGACGAGTTAGAGGCGAGTCTGAACAAGAACAGATGCTCAGACTAGACCCGCCCACATGAAGCACAAGGCCTTAGATGTTAGACAATCACAGCTGATTATTTCATTTAGATATTAGGGGTATTGATGCTTTAGGATGAGATGCCTTGTACTTTACACATAGCGCGATTGATTTCACAACAAAACTAGTGCGGCAACTGCCAGTTTTTACACTTTTTCTAAAAATGTATACAAATATAGAGTATTATTCATAATGTGAATTACCCGTTAGGATTACTGAAACTCACGAAATTGGAGGATATTTAATCAAGAGACAATACAGGCAGTGAGACATGCATGCAATACAAACTGGGGGGTCATTTCACTTGACATTTCATGCCATTCAGCAGTTCATTGACGCTTTATGCATAGCTACCCATTTCACTCGATGAGGGCTATTTATCGCCCTCAGCGGACACTCATGCCTGAGGCGCTTCAAGAGGTTTGATCGTGGCCACGGTGATGAATCAAATACTATCCACCGGGGGTCTCACCAAAACGGGCGTTATGAGCATAGAGACCACGACCAACAAAAAAAAAATAGTAAAATGCGTCAAAAAACAGCTGGTGGCGATGAAATGACAGCTGGGCGCGCGTGTAGTAGAGATGAGCTATAATTAAGGTTGTAGTAGATTAAACGACATTCATCAGGCATCACCTTCATAATTGAAGTTGAAAACTCTGAATCAAAAAAAAAATCGAGGGGTGGTCCTGATGAGTACCGATGGCAGAACAAGAATACCGGTCAGATCACAAATCCATGCGCTCAAAATACTCGATCTGAACCGAGCAGCAAAGCAATCGGACCGCTATTCTTCAGTATGCGAATGAGAAGAAAAGAGCTAAAGCAGATGCTAGAGCCTCCTTTGCGTGACTGTGGTGGCACTATGATTGCGCTTGTTGCTGTTCCGACTCTTGTGATGATGGTTGCGGATCGTCTATGAAGGGGATATCGCTGAGTAGCAACGACGATATCGTCATCGATAGTTCACGTCCGCAAAAAATCTGAATACACACACGGCCAGCTCACCACAAAAGGCTACACCACTACGATATACCAATAGCCACAGTAAGACGCCTCGAGGAACAGTTAGCTTACAGTGTAATCACTATCAATGACATCACAATAATTAGTCAACCACAAAACGTAAAAAATTTGCCTAGCCTATCAGTCAAACTTATGGTGCGCATCCAAAAACCATCACGATCGTATGGGTGACAATCGGAATCGACAACTACTGCAATTGAAAACATGCCATTCTTGGCGATAGCGCCGACGTAGCGAGATCAAAGAATCTCTTGAGGAAAAATTTGACACGAACCTCCTTTCTATGGCATGTTCTTAATGGCAGCGCTCGTTTATGTGTGTGCAGCACAAGACAATTCCTATAAATTCTTTTCGTGATGGAGCCTAACTCGAGATAGCGTCATGGCAACAACATAATTCCAGAGGAAAGTATGTACAAATTCGTTAACTAGAAATTCAGAAGAAAAATTCCTCCGGCGCCTCACTGTGGTTTCCATAAATAAGAAAAAAGCAAAAGTCCATGAGGAAGTGCATTTTTTTGTGACTGCAATACCTTGTTTTGTGTGTCTCAATGTTCAATGTGTACCGGTCCTGGATGGGAACGGAAGGATGGCAAATGAACGTGAATGACCCTTTCATGCTCGTTTCCGACCAGGAGCGGTAACCAACTTAGGTGTACCACCACATTCCGAACAGAGCTATTTCACCACCACCATCACCTGGACCAACATTCCCAGCTCATTTAAAATGCACACATATAGATGCAATACCACCACACGACATAACTAGTTATTAACGAATTCCGCATGCTTTGAATCTGTCTCATAGTAACAGAAAGCTGTGAAAAGCCTGACAAAATCTCGTCAATCTGCCAACAATTCGCGCGCATCCCTACATAAAATAATCGCTGTTTAGAGTTGACCAGTCATCGGTTTACTCACAAACTCGTCTTCTTCCTCCTGCAACGGTTCCCGTTCGTCAGCTTTTGCATTTGAACTGGCAAATAACCGCTCAACCTGAAATGAATTCAAATCATCCTGCGATCCAAAGGAATGTGCCCTCTAGACGTTTAAAGTTTTAGTGTGACTTTCAGCCCCAGAGTCTTAAGGAGGCCTTCGAGAGTCTGAGAACTATGAGTACCACCGTACAAAAAACAAAACTATGCTTATTTCTTTCCTTCAATGAAATCACTGTCGGGCCAGATTAAACTAAAGGACAGCAGAGCCCTGGGATTGGGTGGATGATACCACCTTGCAATTTGCAATTTAAGCAGGAAGGATAGTAGAATTGCTTCATTCCTTGCTCATCATTCTGTATGAAACACGAAAGGTATCGCACGAAGGTCAGTCTAATTCCTCATCATCCCGCATTTGGCAAACTGTATGCTCAGATTGAGGAACTGTTGAAGCAAAAAGGATAAACAAAGCAACCAACAAATCAGATAAAGTAATATTTTGAAAAAGTAGATCCACGATGAAATAGAAAATACAACTAGCCCTCTTCTCTTTCTTTTCGGTGGTACTGCTCCTATGTCCTGGTCGGACAGCAGCTCGAGGAATGCCGACACTGATAACAGGGTTAATGTCTCGCGTCGATATTGGTACATCATCATCTCCCACACTTTTCCTTGCACGCCGCCGGGATGGTGACTGTTTCAAGGCTGAAATTGAGTAAATGTTTTTTTTTTCAGGAAGAACTCTTAAAAATATATTACAAGACAACCATTGACACAAAACATGTTCATGAAACCTATTACAAAGTACCCAGTAGTTTCCATGCGAAGAAAGCTCATGAACACACTTTGTGCTGCACACCATCAAAACGCTTTCTAAAACTATTAACCGAAAATCCCTGCCCGACAAAGGAGTTACACGCGAGCGACTCAGTTCAGTAAGTTTATGCATATGTAGTAAGTACATGGTTGACTTGAGCTCAATCGCTTTCAAAAAAAAGAGGAGAAGACGCTGCGCTTTGACTGAGCTTCTCCATCCAATAAGGTTCAATATTCTATTTGAAACGGTCGGAGAGAAGAGGCGATTCCCCATTCTAAGTAATGAACCTCAATCCGCTAATATGCTGTCCAAAAAAGACTACAAGTGGTTAGAATTACTATACGCACAAGACCATCCACAACGAGGTCGACCACCGTACATTACTTGGTTCATTCAGAACTGAAAAACAAGCCAAACAAAACTATAGGAAACTAAGGGATCATAGTGCAATCAACATTTTGATGACCGCTAACAAACTACACGCCAAATTACAATTACAGTTTTACACCCACGGTCCACAACGTCAAGGACAAATAGCAGCACGGAACAGAAAGCAAAAGGCAATCAAGCGCAAAGGATGCTCAGTATGCCAAAGTGGAATGACGGCCAATGGAAAATTAGCATGGGGTAAAAATCCAAGCATTATGAGCAACTTTGCAGTTGGTTCATAAGCGTTTTGCTTCAGTTTCCGAGCATGGCAAACGGTATATTGGATACTGAAGCAGACGAGCTCGCTTTGGAATTCGTGATGCTAACTCTTATGGTACTATTGCCAACTTGTGAAATGACCGTATGAGCCCCGCATCACGAAGTCTTTCACGAGAAGATGGAAACCGAAATCATTTGGCGCAGTCCTAGAGCTGCAATCAAACTCGACGAGCTGTTAACGGTTGATAGCTGCTCATAGGCAAAGGTCATCAATATACAGCGATCAACCGTCAAATAATCGAAGAGTCAAATCGCAGCCTAAAGCTCTCGTTATTCTTATCGTACAACATGATTTCGCTTAAAATGAGCGCCAAACTACTTCTAACATCTACGCCAAACCAACGATGCCAAAAATGCAATGTATACCGAGATAGGAGTGGACCAGAGTACGGAATTTCCCGTTCGCCCTCCGTGGATCGGCTGTAACGGAACATCATCTTGAGACCACCAAAAAGGTAATGGGTTATTTGGATTCAAAATAGCGTTAATAACGCATAGAATGCTTGTCAATAGTGAGCTTAATATTACACTATAATATTCACTTCAACATGGATGTAATGCAAGCACAAGAATTGTTACTCTATGACTAATTTCACAAGCTGGTAAACGTAACCTCGTCAAAAGAATAACAAAGGTATAAACGAAAGGCGAACTGTGAAATTCAACAGAAATAAAGCAAAGCCACATGCGTATCAATGCTATACCTGGTCCTTTCTTGAAGACGTGCTCTGTCATGAATGACAGAAATCTTTGAGCATAGAAGTTGGGATTGTGGACGGAAATAGAATCCTGAATTTTTACATTCTCTCGAGTGGAAGTTAAGGAAGTAATGGTCAGGCGTAGTCGAAGTTGCAATGAAACACGACTATGGAAGGGATCACTAAATATGTTCCAAAAAGAAAAGTGTGTTGAAACTCAATACAAGAAAAAAAANAAAAAAAATAGTAAAACACAAATTAAATTGTCCTTAAAAAAAGCAAAAACTCGCGTAGACTTGAATACCGATTCAAAAATAGTGAAAATGGCAAAGCAGAAATGAAAATTTACCGACCCCATCATGCAATATCGCCTTCCACGTATGCTCCATTTTCTTAAGCAATCGGTAGTTTTGCAAAATGTCAATAATACCTGAATTAACACATTTCAATATGAAATGATTCGTGTTCTGAAGATGTCTACTCTTTTTCCCTGAACACTAGAAATAAAAATAAGGACTACAAAAATGAAGCTTACCAAGGAATAAAATCAACCTATCACCATTTGAATTTCGAGCTGGAACGCCACCAGGAGGCACAGAGCCTTCAAACTCGGACTGATCCCAAACGGAGAACTTCGTTTGCAATGGCTGAAAACAAGGTGACTTCAATGTATCAAAACAAGTGGCCAGCTTGATTGCAATCGAAAAACCTCAGAGGCTGAGGGTGGTTGACCTCCATAAGTTGCATAGGAAAAGAATTAGCCACAGCAATCAACACCACTGGCTTCTTCGTTATACATTACCCGAAGCGCAGGCATTTTATGTCAACCTAATCAAGATGAATGAGTAGAACAGAAGGTTCGAGTTATGGCGGAGAAAAAAGTTCAGTGGCAGAGGTGATAATCCGGGTTTTCACTAGGAACTGATAACGCAAGCAATCCGATTTAGTAGCATCCCCTAGGCGTGTTTGTATCGACTGTGAGCATCCTATGATAATCAAAGCATTAAACAATGATAACAAACACACGAATGCTTATTACTCCTTATTTAGATATATGAAACCAATGAAGCGCTTCAGGTGAATTTAGGATGAGACGGTCTTTTTTGGTCTGAACGGCCTAGCCGATATTGGAAATAAAATCTGTTCATAATGCTGCAGAAATTGCTTCCTATATGTTAGAGCACTTTTTGAGTCGAAATTGTTTTCGATCAATACCGCCAACACGTCGCATTTTATTTCCGCTTACGTTGATAGAATCCACTCACAACAGGCAGGAAGTTGAATAAGTGGTCATGAGGGAAACTTGCAAAGTATCGGATGCTGCTTTCCTTCATGATAGCAACCCTTTCATAATATTTCCACAGATCATGTTGCATCGGTGTCACTTGGCGAGAAAAGAGGAAGTAGGGTCTGTCCGCAAACAACAACACACATTAGGAGATTGATAAACAAATACTAAGTTGAAGTGCCATTTGTAGAACTATTGTTCTAGAGACGAGCAATCCCTCCCCCCTTCACTGGGACACGGAACGATTATTCTATTATTCTTATCCTACTCAAAATCACCTTACTAGCACTTTATTCGAGTAAAGGCAGGAAAAGAAACTAAGCTCTGTCAAAGACAGCGTGACTGCAGCTTATGTCAAAAGAGTGGGGCGAGTTTTCAAAGGGTTTCTTAAAATTACTGCAAAGCAATTAACAGAACAGAGACAGTCTCTCAAAAGAGTAGAAGTATGTGATTAAATCCACCCAAAGCCAAACTGAACAACCAACATTACAGACGCACACCTACCCTTCGCCGAGCTTCAGTCTCGCCTCTACTCGTGCTTGGCAGATCGTCGACCTGCTCTAACTCATCCTCACTTTCTTGTCGAACTGGTTGAGCACGACTCCGATCACCAGAAGATGTTAATTCCATATTGTGTATACCCACTAGCAAAGAGTAGTCCATGATTTTGAAACTTTCTAATACCTAAAATATGCTATAAGCGACGTCAACTCCCAACAAAAGTTAGGAACGAAGAGGCTCATACCAAACAATCCCTGCTAATTGTTCGTATAAGACTATCATATGAAACAGGATCCATTGAGAGACCTTCATTAGGGTGATTTTCAATAAAATCTAGATCTTTCAAGGTTGGGGAGGCCTGAAACAGGACTTCATAATGAAACTAAACTTCTCATACGGATAAAGGACTGATTACCTTTGCTCGTTCGGCTTTCGAAGCTAAACGCTTGTAAGTTGACCCTTTGAGATCATATTTCTCGTGCATGGTTACATTTTGTGGTAGCAAATTATTCATTACTAGTAAACGAATATTCTTTCCCAAGCTCTAAAAGATAGCATCCGTGAGATGGACAATGCAATTTGAAATGATTAAACAAAACGATTAAAGAGAAAACAATAAAGAAAACCTAACCTGGTAGCAAAACAACCCGAAAAACTTTGGCAGCAAGGTTTTTGGATTTTGTTGGAGATTCTGTAAAATGTCACAGATAACAAACTTCACAATGCTGAAATCCCTTCCTTTCTGATAGAAATATTCAAAAGCATCTTGGAGCTTGAACAGAAGAAGTGAAAGGTTCTCGCACGCCATGGGTCCTACACAAAAGTGACTACTCGTGAGACCAAAATTCTTCGGGAAACTCTTTAACCGATGGCACCACCTTCAACTGGATGATCTCAGACCAGTAGTGTCATCGAACGATGGGGGCCATTACTATGCCCCTATTTTGAAAAGTCAGAACACAGTCATGCAATGTTTGAACGTAGATGCAAAACACGCAGCCGTCTCACATGAAATCTCGCTGGGCTTTCCTGGTCTTGCATCATTAACGAACAGCTCAAGCCTATACTTCCACCGTTTTCAACTCCTAGGCATAAATTGCTATCACGGTATGCACTTTAAATGAATACTCACCATGTAGTACCCGGGTAACAACTTCTGCAAAAATTCAGCCTCTTTATGTTGTACTGTTTTGATAATAAATTGATCATCTTGTGAAACATAGAATATTGACCCGGATGCACCGGCATTGGACAATTCCCTCAAAGGTTCTGTACAGGTGGACCTCTGAAAAACAAACTCACACTTATCAGAAATGCTTTAAAACATTGAAACAACATGCGCTGTGAAATACTTGGAAACAACCCAAAATAGTATCACCAGCATTTTTTTATATTTCCCTTCGCCACCATAAACTATTATTACTCATATCATGACGGTCTCTTGCAATAAGATTCTGTTACTGGTAGAGCGAGGAAAAGATCGAATCCATAATACTTTTTGTTCAGTTTTTAGTTTCTCACAAATTTACGCCTCGTCAAACAGAAACGGATCATTCGGGAAAGGTAGAAAAAACACAGCACGTGGAATCGATTGCGAAGAAGTTGCCTCCGCGATCAAGTACCACTTCTCAGTAAAAGAAACTTAAATAGTCGAGCATGATCAGGACGAAACATTCAGAATTTGGAGGAAACTGTCGAGTCCACGGTTATTTTCGAACGAGAGAAAAATAAAAAAGAAAACCATGCGAAAAAACTACTCGAGGCACCATTATCTACATATCAAGGTTGAGGAGAGAATATAATGTTCAAAGCATAGAGCATAAGCATGGAAATAAATAAATACTCTGTGCGTTCCATAGTAGTAGCAGTAGAAGTGGAAGAGTTAACGACCCAAAACCTCATGCTCGCTTGGTAATCAGAGATTGATAAGCCATTGCGAATAAAAAATAAAAATTGTCTTTAAAATGCTTTTCCGTAAATATCACTCGCTACACCAAGCTTCTACAAAATGTTGCAGATTATTGTGAAGCTCACCAAGAAATCTGCCGGTTTGATGTTAAACAGTTCCCTGAAGTATCGAAATGCAATCGGTGCATAGGTTTTGAAGCGAAAATCGCCAAATGAATGTGACGGTGTTGTAGCTGAGCCAGCACTAAAGCATGATCGGTTCGATACGGGAGTTGATCTGTGGACAATGTTTAAAAAAAAGTTTCAAGCGAATCAAGTATATTGCCACTTACGCAGGAAATGCTACGTTTTCAATCTTTTGGAAGTCTTGCAACAACAAGTCTCGATCGGGACGGGACGCAAGGCTGCCAATGGAGTTTGCGATGCCCAGTTGAATTGCGCTCATAAGCGCATTGGTGGGCACCTTCTTGTAACTGACCTGAAATTGACTTACATTCATGCTGAACTTGGTTTTTTGTACAGAATTGGTAAATTTATCCCCAAAATTTGAAGACATGCAGCTTTTGCTGTACTTGAGGTTGATTAATTGTTACCAGTTACCCCTCCAAGGGCACCCGTATACAAAAGGTTGGTCTAACTTCTAATACTACCAGTAAGGTTGTGAATAATAAAACTAAAATAATTCTATGAATACAGAATACCTAGTTGTGCTGCTCATTCAGCGATATAAGATAATAATTGAACAAGCCTACAACTGCGAAAAAAGAAACCATTTAGAATTCGTGAACTTTCTCGTAACCCTATTCTATGAGAAACCCTCAAGTTCAAAAAACAAACTGCGCAGCTTACTTCTAATACATTATATTAAAGGGCAAAGAAACGAGAAGCCATGAGACAGAGAAATCTGCTCTGATCATTTGAGATCTGTTTACATCCTATTCTCACTTCTACAAATATAAGCAAACAATGAAAAAGTGATCATTCACCTCTCCCTGCTCATCGATACGACGATGACCAAGTTTCTGTTTCTCGGCCGGTTGCTGCATTTCCCCACGATCATCGCCTGCCCCAGGAGCAGTCTGAAGCACGTGAAGCCATTATAGAAATAAGTCTAAGCGAAAAAAAGGTTAAGCAAAATCATAAAAAGTGGAAAAAGGGACTGACCGCCTTGAAATTCATTACCGCTGTTGACATTTCATTCGTAAGTGCTGATGGGCATTAGACGGACGAGTACGTGGTCCTGGTATGTCTGTAATAAGTAAGTTGTATAAGGATGGTAAATAATAGCAGGAAACTCAACTACTACCTCGACGATCACGAAAAGAAAATATATTTTCACGCAGACACAAATGAAGAGATAAGTGAATGAGAGTTTGATTGAATGGAAGTAAATTTTGTTTACTACAATTCATTGGTAATTAAATGTATACATATTCAGTAGCAGAATATAGAGTATGATCAGAGATTTGAAAAGAAAACTTTGAAAATAAGAAAATACTAATTGGAGATACGAGCACAGTTCCATACAAAACTGAAACGAAGGAAAGGAATTTGAACGGGAACAAAAATTACAACGGACAAGTAACTAATCAAAATATCAGAGGGAATTCGGACAACAAGGCCTCATCAAGGTAACTAGCCCCGGAAATAATTTTAGTTCTTGGTTACAAAAATCGCAGCCGCACTCAACTCGCACAAAAGCGCGAGCGGCGTCGCGCGCGGCCACTGAGCCCTATGGCTGCTTTCAGACCTCAACGATTCATCCGTCCGTCCGTCCGTCCGTCCGTTCGACGCGTGCTGCGACGGCGGCGCCTGACCGTTGTCGACACACTGGATCACTTGCCAGCGCTGTCAACACTACTCTAGCGACCGCCGTCGCAGCACGCGCTGAACGGACGGACGGACGGACGGACGGACGGTCGTCGAACTCTGAAAGTAGCCTATAAAGGTTTGGACCGGCGTAGTACGTACGGAGCAGGTTGACTTCATCTCCAAAAGTTGTACTTGTAGTCACAGTAACGCGATTGTGAATAGTAATAATATAGTAATAATTACGTTAATAATGATAATAATAATAAATAGTAAATTCTAAACTCTACAGCTTTCTGGCATCAATCAATGCAGTCTGAAGGGTGCGCCCTGCATTCAACTTCCTTTCAGAACCGTAGTGGCGTGATGAATGCATATACNCACAGTAACGCGATTGTGAATAGTAATAATATAGTAATAATTACGTTAATAATGATAATAATAATAAATAGTAAATTCTAAACTCTACAGCTTTCTGGCATCAATGCAGTCTGAAGGGTGCGCCCTGCATTCAACTTCCTTTCAGAACCGTAGTGGCGTGATGAATGCATATACTATACAATGATTTGCGGTGGCTAGCCGATGTACAAGTCAGTGCTTTTATCCTCCCAGACGAGTCTTGTACCAATTAACTGACCCGGAGGAATGAAAGGCTTAGTTGGCCCAGGCAGATATCGATCCCGGATGAAATAAATAATATTAACATCTATTCCGGTAATGGTAATAAAAGTAGTGGCTGTAACATTAATAAATAATTATTGCTATTGTAAGTTAAAGAGGATAATGGATTAAAGGAACAATAATAAGTCGTAAAAAATAGTTAAAGGATAAGGAAAAAATCTACGGCGATAACGAATTCCTCATTTGGGATGCGCCCTATCTTCAAATCCGTATCATAATGGTAGATGTACTGAATGAGTGCGTGGCCTATACAATGACTTACGGTTGGTAGCCGATGTAATGACAATGGTTTTATCCTCCCAGACGTGTTTGGCACTATTTAACCGACCTTTCAAGGAAGACTTGTTCGGGCGAGTATCGATGTGGTCTAAAACATCTACATCAAGTCAGAATACTGTAGCTGAAGGTCTCAGACTATATCGAAGAACCGTAATGCGCAAATGACGAACGACCTCTTGTAGCTCTATTGTCCAGTAGTTACTATACAGTAACTTTCTATGAAAGCATAAAAGGAAACGTTCTTGGGTCCATTCGAAAGCTGTTGTGAGAAGTTCATAGAAAAAGTATAGTGCGTGGCGCATCCCAAAAAGAGAGAGAGGTGGGTATTCCTCGTCATGATATTTAGTTTGGTTTCCCATGAATCTCGGCATAATCAATGGAATGGAATGAAAGAAAAAGAAATGATTGAAAAAAAAGAAGGCGAATTCGCCGAAACGCTACCAGGAGGAAACTGAACCGTGAAAGATTCAAACGATTCACATTCCAACAACTGTCTACCGACAGCCTAACTTTTAAATGATTCAATGATTCGGCCCTCAAGAATCACCACTTCTGGCAGGCTATGTTGAACTTCGATGAAATCCCTTTTTACCCAAGAAAAGTGTTTTATACGGACCAAAAGCGAGCGTCCTAGATGGACGACGTGCGGTTGCTGGACATGAAATTAATCATTCTCCGAAGTTTTTCAGAGTGACACCCGAATCGATGTGTGTGGTGTGAGGTGGTGCGCCTAATCAGCGCGCTTCGTCGTGTCGCATCATTGGGGATGGGGACGAGAAGCAACGCTCCGAGACGAGTACCTCTTCTCTAAAGCTATAGGAAATCTTCGGGCGATTGTGTGCTCGGCGAAAATGAGTGTTCGAGAGTGGCATTGTCACTCTCGACTGCATATGGAACAGAGTATTGACTGCAAGCTGCCCAAACTGGTCCATTCGGCACTGACATGTGAGCCGTCGTCAGTCATCACCACCCAAGCAGAATGTCAAGATTAGAAGAAAAAGCTATGAAACTGACCAAAAAGGGCCTTTTTCGTTCATCGTAATAGCTCAATTAAATAGAACGGCTGATATAGTGCAGATTGACGAAACGGGAAGTCTTCTTGAGGAAAAAAGTACTGAAAGGTCCCCGTGAAGCTGAGACTTAAACGAAGAATACCCATACCCCCAACCTTCCGGATTCTCAGCCCCTTCCGCATCAGCTTGCCCTTATCTGGCAGGACGACAAGGTCTACACGGGTTTTTGCGATCATCTCGACAAAAAAGTACAAAGTAGTAATAGCTAGGACAAAATTAATTTGTCATCGTAAAAAAGCCATGAAACTGAAGCGTAACAATAAATAAAAAACAAAAAAAAACCGAATGAAAATTGAACGATATTTCTTTCTTTCTTTCTCGAAATGCTGACTTCTCAGTTACAATCAATATGAGCTCCAGAACACATTTAACAATAGTTGAAGAAAAAAGCCTAATAAGGAAATAATAACGAATAAGTAAGTACAATTCACTGCTTTGATTTCAATACATGAATAGTTAACTATACAGGTCATATACAATGACGGAATATCTCGCAAGGATGGCAAGTTATAGGCAAAAATTCAGTCTCAGACAAAACTCGAACCCGTACTTGTGCTTTCACGAAATAGCAGCAGTTTACAAAATCATTAGACCAAAAAAATTTGAATGAATATACAAGAGAAGCTGTGGGCAGTTGATAATAAATCTGGCAGGGTGAGGTGCATTAGGAACGAAATGGTCGCGTCGCGGTGAGAGGGGCGTCGCGCGCGAAGGAATGTAGCAGGATGCAGCAGTAGGTAAGAAATACAAGAACAAAAGTACTAATAGCAGAATTATGCATAAAATAATGATCGCATATCGATTGAGCTGTATGAAGAACACTAGAGCTGTAATAACGGCGAATGAGTGGTCCGCGACAGCCGCGTGCGGTGGATCGATTACCCAAAATCGTTCCTAATGCCCGTCTCCCAATCTGGCTGCAAGGCCGTCGTACCCGTGTAGCGGTTAGCCTGTTGAGTGGAGAATGGTCATCGAAGATGATACTTAAATGAGTATTACCAACTGCTATAAAAGTCATAATTTCACTCAATTACAGTCATATCAATGAGAATACGCCGGGCGCCATTTGAAGTGAGGTATAAACGTGCTCGTTCGCAGTAATTCTTAGTAAAAAAAGACAACAACAACAACAACTTTCACGCTTATTCAAGACAAAAAGACAGAAGAATAGCTGATATTGAATCTATCTATGGCCGATTTCTGCCCTCTCATACCTCCGCCGTCGATCAACTATTACTAGATTCGCCCTGAAGGCTAATTTCGGATAATAACTGCTTCCAAGCATGATTCAGAGAGAGTTGAATACCCAGACGTCTAGGCTATTCTTAGGAGACGTTGATTGTGTACTGCATCGAAAAGACAAAGCCGTTCAAAAAACTTGTCCCAGAAGATCCCGAGCCACTCCGCACTTAGTTTCGCACTCATTACCCAGACAACAAGGTTAACTAATAGAATTTTTGAGCAAGAGGAGCTGTGCAAGCTAGAGCGGATCTGATTAAGTCCTAGTGGGTTTGCAAAATGAAAGAAGAAGGCTAGAGAGGTTTTTTAGTGAAATGGTCGTAAAAAGTTTTAAAAGAAACAAAATTTTGGGCAAAATGTTTGTCCATCCAATGAGTATCATCAAAAAAATACAGCCCTAAATAGAGGATGGAACCAATTACTAGGGCCTCTACCAGGAATTTTTTTTCAAGGGGACCTGGAAGGGGCTTCAAGAGCGAGGAAGATAGACGCCATTATCTTAAGCGTTACGGTTTTCCTTTAAGAACAGGTTGTAGCAGAAGGGGGAAATTCCTTGAAAACATGACTCAAGGACAAATAAATACTGGTTAGAATGATAGTTTGGAGAGCAACTTGTCTCTCACTGGATCCTTTCAAGGATGCGCCACGAATCTGCCCTCCAATCAAAACCGTAGAACGATTTGGCTCAACAAAAAAAAAGAAAAAAAAATTGGTTCAACGTGAGGGAATGAATATGCAGACGTAAGAAAAACTGCTTCATGTACTTTCACAGAATCCGAGGAATGGGGCTGCTAAATGCCTTCAAATCTGAACTTTCCAGGGGTTCCGATGCCGAATTCCCGACAAATACATCTCCATCAAGATTCCCTCCATTTCTTTGTTGTTTTTCCCTGAGAATTCTCGCTGCAGCTATCCTCTTCCAGATGCAACGCAATACTCGTAGCAAAATGAGGCTTTTGTCATTGCTTTAGTACTCATCAGAAAAGCCACATCAGTGTGTGATGACGAAAGCACCACGGGCTTCAGCGGAAAATCGAAAAATGACACGCTTTTTATGTTTGAGGAATGTTGCACTTTAAGTTTTTCCACTCAATACTTGAGTAACGGTCACTT